GCATCAAGCGGTAGTGGCATAGGTGGAAATTGTAATAATCCATTTTTAGGATCCGATATTATGGCCCGGAGTTTTTCTATCTATTAAGAACAAAATTCTTTAAATTGTGCTAACACAATAAATGGAATTAGAATGCTACCTGGATATTACTTTTTTAGGTCTCGTGTCCTTCATTGTACGTATCTCTTTAGAAATCGACGAGAGTGCAGCAACCAATTCACCCTGACGACGAAGTAATTCTCGCTGATTTCCAGACGGTGCCTAATTGTTTAGTGTGATATATTATCAGTTTTGATTTTGAAAAATAATTATAACACTTGAAGTGAATAATTAACCTTCACCTTTGTCATGGCATTCATGTACTGATAAGCTACTTTACCGTACATTTTACCAACGATTTTATCTTCGAATTCAACCATAAGATACCTGTGAAAAATCATTCTTTAGTTTTTGACAGTAAAACTGTAAAGTTCAATTTGTTTTACTGTACCAATAAAAGTTGTTTCCCAAAATTTGATTTTTTACAGCTCTCTCGATTAAAAATTCAGCCAAGCTCGAACTTGATTTATCGCTAATATTTTCGAACTTTAAGGCCTGAACGAGTTGTAGTAAATATAACAAAAGTTCCTAATTTTCGTAACAGAGAAATAATTTTTAATAATTTTATAGATAAATTTGCAATAACATACAAATAAGCAAAATAAATATAATACAGACTTCATCATCGGCTTTTCGTAGTTGACTAACGGCATATCTTCGAACGGAACGGTTCTCAAAATTAGCGCTCAACAACTCAAGTGCATCATCTAGATCAATGTCTGCCCATTTTGATAACAATTCGACAGCCTGTTTCTCCTCTGTTGGATCAGTCCACTCGACACACTTGAGGAATTTAGTAAGTGCCTTAAGAAAAAAATAATAAATCTTTTTAATGGGCAAGCTAATTCAAAAGGTTGTCTACAATAAGAAGTTCATTTCCATACTTTCTTGTCACGTGTCAAGTAAAATCGGAATTTCCATAGCAAATCCTTTTCTTCTGAACTCAGAGGTTGTGTTGGTGGGTATTTCAAAATTCCCTTAAATAAAAAAAACAAAAAAAAATCGTCAATATTTTTATTAAAGAATTTTCAAAAAAATACTTTGATCTTACATTTAATTCATCCCTAATCTTTGCGTCTGGTTTCAGATCACGATCCAAAGGTCCATTCCGGTGACTTCTCACCAAACGTCTATGTTTGACTTCTACAGGATTTTCCCTGTTGATTTCTGGATCAACAATGAATACTATGCTAGCATCTCCTGTAGGCGCAATTGTGCCAGATTGTATCCCACTAGCCGTTGTGGGTAATGTGGGTAAGGGTAAATGATATTCCTAGGAAAATTGAATTAGATTTAGATAACAATTGATGCAAAATGGAAACCTCTTCCCTAAGTTTTATAACCCTACCGGTTCGCTAAACACAAGCGGAAAGTCAAATTTATGCAAATCAATATACAAATATAAATTTTTTGACTTTGATGACTCTTGCTAATGAAATATAGAAGGTTGATGTGAGTATTTGAAAAATTGTTATTCTTTTAAAAAAACGAACAGATACTTCATACTTTATGAATTTTCTCTATCTGCCGGAAAGCAAGATTGTCGAGCCACTCTAGCTTAGCCATATCATTCCTCTCATATCGTTTGACCAACTGGGTGACAATTAAAATTCAGTTTTGATTATTTAGACAAAATCGCGTGATCTAACATAAAACTAGGAAGTTGATAATACTTTTTCCAATCGATCCATTTCATTTTTATCACCCACTTTACTAGGGGTGGTAGTGTGCTCACGACCGTCGGCTTCGACGTTTGGCCATAGATAGCACTTATGTTTTCCCCTTCTTAGAGTACTATATAATAATATTATTAAAATCTATGGAAGGTTCGATGATTTAATTGGTGAATCCTTTCGAATTTCTTACTTGTACTTTCCGAAAAGTCGAAAGGTCGTGCCGCCTATCGGAACTGCTTTACGTGGACCATATACGTCGTATACGGTTAAAGCTAACTGAGAGGTTACAGGAAGATCTCGGAATTTTAAAGGAATTGTGAGCCATTCGTTCCAGCTTTGATCCATCAATTCATGTCGCAACATAATCCAATATTAAGTTTCGTTAAATAATGAATGATTACAATATTGGAAAACTGTAATCTGATTCCAACCTCCAATGGTTCTTGAATGACTTGTATGAAGTCCTTACTGGAATAGTAAGCGGCTTATTATCCGCGTAAATTTGACAGTTCACGTATAAATCCGAGAAATCACTATTAAAAAAAAATGAATTAATAAAAAATTTATTTGTATCTGCAAACAAGTCGCTTACCTTGTTTGTACACCAGTATGGTTGAGGGAAGGATCTTGAAGTAAAGCTGTAAAAGGCTTTTTTTCGCGAGTTCCTTCAAGACTCGAACTTTATTATTTTTGATATTTACGTGGTGAATGAGTAAGTTTTTTTAGATCTTTATTGTTTTGCGACAATTGTTTCAAAATAAAGCTTACATCCGTACAGTTAACGGAAAATCCAAATCCTTGGTTAAACAAAAGGAGTACATGAAATCTTCTTTACTTTGAGAATTGTAATCCATTGTGTAATATA